ATATAAGCATATTTTGTAGTTGTAAATAATCACATCCGGCGGTATGTATTATAGCTGAATGGATATAATTTTAGAATTAATACAATAGTAAAAAAAGGAAAAAACGTTTAAATTCTCAAAATGGAAATATTTTGGATCGTAATTCGTTATTAGTACTACCACATACATATATTACGAATTCATCTTCAAATTAATCAATTATCTTTCTCTTTCAATACTTTCCCACTTTATTTTAGAAATAATTATTTATCCATATACTGTTTAATTGCAGGAAAAAAAAATTTAAAAATTGATGAACGAGGAATTTTTACTACTGCTACAGCTTCTTTTCATCTTAAAATTTTCTTTTAAAACTTTTGAAACTTAACACACATTATTTGAAGCAATCCTGCAGCTCTAATAACTTTCTTCCTTTCTTCCTTTCTCTTTCCTCTTTTTCTTTCCTTCTTCTTGTCAGTTAAAAAAATTTTTAACGAATTCTCATATCATTAAAATCTATTATATATGTTTCCTAATTGTCATTTTTCTTAAAAGTTATGCATCATTAGTAAACTGTATGAGATGGATGGGAACATTTAGTGATAGCACTAATGAAAATATTGCTTCACTCCGCTGGGATAAGGAAATAGTTGAAAACTATTGTGAATAGTTAAAGGGATTGAAAGATTTATCGTTACTCAAAAATTTTGCATAAAATATTCAATGATTATAATTACTCTATTACAGTGTAATTTTAAATATTTACAAATTATTGCAATATTATTTCAAATATTTATTAAATATGACTACAATCTAATATCACTTTTCATGTTCAGGAAAAATATTGTATTACAAGAATTTCAATTTGTTTTCCTTAGCAAAAATTATCTCACTAAATTATGGATGAGAATGAATGAGAAATATGCATTTGTAGTAGCTTCGAAGAAAATAGTAGACAAAAAAATTTTTCTTTTTGAAAAATTTGAAAAGGAAAAATAAAGACGCGAAAAAGTATTATTGTTAAGCTAAGTAATATTTCAAAATTCGAAATGATTAAAATATAATTTCAATGACTACACCAAATGTCAGATAACTGAAAATTGAACACTAGGTTCCATATGAGAAAAAAAATATGAAAACCGGAAATAGACGTGTAAGTTCTTTTTTTTTTGGAAGTCATAATCAAAAACATCTTTGATCTATCTGTAGAAGTACATCATGGAAAGCTTTTAATGTTAATCATTTAATCTCTCCTGGATCAAAATCATTTTTGCGTAAAATGAGGGAACCGGAGAAGTGAACAATAAAAAATCAACAATTATGGAATGTTTCACGAAAAAAATC